TTCTGGGAGTTGAAGTCCACTCATCTTAAAGTGGCCAAGTTTGGACAACACTGTATTAAGATGTTTATGTTTTTTCCTTTATTGTTATTTTATGTATCTTAATTTCATAGTACTCAAATTGGCTTTGTATTTAATTGTCTTTTTACTTTAAGTAAGGAAGTTCTTGGGTTTTTTTTTAAAGGAGAAACTCTTTATCTTTGTTATGCTAAATTTTAGTCTTTTGTGGCTCTGTTTCTAGTTTAGAGTTGAGATATGGAATGTTTATCTGAATGGGACAAGTTGTTATTTAGGGCAAAAATGTGTACTGGAGCTTGTCTTTTGTAAAGGAGAAATGGTCACTTTCTGTTATTTTGTTCATAGTGGGATACTGGGACCATTTTATGCCTTTTAAATGGGATTTTGTTTTAGCTAAGAGTGGAGGTGTGGAATGTTGAATTTCATATATGTTAACTAATGTTAATATTTTAGAGCTCTCTGGACTTTTTGCTGAGAACTGGATGGGAGGAGAGGTTACTTATTTCATTTGCCTATTGTAAGAGATGGGTTATGGGATGAAGAGTTTATATTGGTTAAATGAGAGGAGGTGAGAAGTCGCTTTTTTAGGGGGGAGGTGTTTTTCTTGTTCTGTTTAGTTTTCTTATCTCTTTTTTCTCCTTTTTTTTTTTCATTTGTATTCTTTTATTGTTCTGTCTCAAACTTTTAATAACATTATTGGGGGAAAAAAACTAAAAGCACTTAAAAGTTATTCATGATTGCTCAGACCAAGCCATAATCAGCATACCTCTCAGTGATCTTTCAGTTTCTGGAATGTTACTGACCTGAACTGGACTTTTATTTATTGTTGTAGGTCAGTTCTTAGTGCTAATGTCACAGTTGCTCCTTACTTTCACTATTGTTTGTCTACACTTCACTCTTTGTGTATAATCCTGCCTGCGGGCCAGAGAGGAAGGCACCTGGCTTCACAATACAGCTGGCCTTAAAATGCCTTCCTCTTTTTGACATGCAAGTCCTTCCTGAGTTACGTCCACGGCTCAGATCAGCATTGGCCGCAGCATGTTGCAACCTTGGGCGAATGCAGGGCCCTAAAGGAACCCACCACTGCAGATGGCTTAAATGGTGGCTCCTCCAAGTCCATCCATGAGGACCCAGGAGAGAACCCACAAGGAGGCTCTTCCCATCCAAAGGTCCCAGTCAAATCTAAAGCCAGCCATTCCTTCGTTGGGGTTCAGAGCTGACTGTGTGTGCTGCCAAACTAGTCCACACGGCCCTAACCAAGGGCTGTTTTTCCTTGCAGCAACATGCCTTGAACCTATCTCTGAACCATGCTGAGGTGTATATTTTCCACCACTCCTTCCTCTCGCACTCAGCCAGCAGCTTCATCGAACAGAATGGTCCACACTGTAAAGTTCCCATTGTGTATCCTCCTAAGCCAGTGTTATCCAAGCTTGGCCACTTTAAGATGAGTGGACTTCAACTCCCAGAATTC